GCCTCAAGTGGCCATGGGCGGTACGTGTGAGAAGGGCGGACAGCAGACGCTGCAAGAGGATGCACACCCAGAGTGCGGGAAGGTCTAACCGCAGCACGGGTGTGCGAAGCTGACGGAGTGCGTCAAGGGCGTGCCGTCGACGAGGGCTCCGAAGACGAGGTCGAGGTGGAGGTGCCCGAGGAACGCGAGACACTCGTTGCCGTGAAGGCCGCAGCGACCACCGAGAAGGACGTCGCGGAGCTCCTGGTCTACTTGGCCACTCACGGCGGGGTCGAGATGGAGGACGTGGTGCGTCTCTGCGAGCTCGGAAACATCGACCTCCACCTGGCGCATCGCTACCTGCCGTCGTCCCGCTTCGAGTGCGCACCCCACCTGGAGGGCACGCGACTCGTCCCTCTGAGGGAGACGGGGGCGCGTCGACGAGAGCACGCGACGGAAAGCGCAGCGGAGCCGCCACGCGATCAGCTGCAACGCGGGGATCAGGACGGCGCATGCGAGAAGCCTGAGGAGCAGCGGCAGCAGGCAGCAAAGGCGACGACGACGGAGCCAGACGCCATCAGCTGCCGTGCACTTGCGGGCAGCGCGTGCGAGAAGCCACGCGAGCAGGCGGGCGCCCGCGGCCGCCCGCGAACCCTGAGCGGGGGCCCTTGAGAATGGGGCGGGGCCGGCCGCCGCGGGCGTCGCTCGAAGAGGAGAGCGCCCGCCCCGCAGCTCGCCGCTCTGAGCTGGACCAAGGGCGGGCGAGGGGAGCGGGCGGCGACGAGAGGGGGCTCCATGGCGGCGGAAGTGGTAACCGCGCCACCCCTGGGAGCCCCAGGTGTTCTTCGCGCGGCGGAACCGCAGCCACGCAGCTCGCGGCAGGAACGGGCTGGAAAGGCCCCCCCTCCTCCTCCTCCTCCTCCTCCTCCTCCTCCTCCTCCTCCTCCTCCTCTTCCCCCTCCTTCTCATCGTCCTCCTTCTCCTCCTCTGCTCCTCCTCCTCCTGTCCTCCGTCCTCCTCCTCCTCCTCCTCCTCCTCCTCCTCCTCCTCCTCCTCCTCCTCCTCCTCCTCCTCCTCCCAACACCGCCGTGTCACTCCTCCGCAGCGCCAGGATGGCACGCTTTGGCAATCGAGACAGGTCGTCACCCTGGGACCCGGCCCACCGCAAAAGAGCCCCCGTCCTGAGTACGCCGGGGGGGGTCCGACGGCTGGGCTCGGCCAGACGACGCGGTTTCCCCTTCAAGAGGAACACACAAGTCAACAATAGGAGGGGAAGGGCAGGATGCTTAAGACGGGCAGGATGCTTCAGAGGAGGATGAGGAGGAGAAGAAGGAGGAGGAGGAGGAGGAAGCGGCGCAGGAGGAGGCGGCGCCGGAGGAACAGGAGGAAGACGAGGACGGGGAGAAGGGAGACCTGGCACGAGCACCCAGTCTCATCGTGTCGTACTCACTTCCTCCTTCACTTCCTCGCCGACCCGCCCAGGTTGTAATCTCCGACGTCGACCTACTCCTCCTCATCCTCCTCCTCCTCCTCGGCAGCAACATCATGAGCATCATATGCATCATCATCATCAGCAGCATCATCATAATCATCATCAACATCATCATCGTCATCATCATCATCAGCATCATCAGCATCATCATCAGCATCATCCTCATCATCCTCATCATCATCACCATCATCATCGTCATCATAGTATCATCAGCAAGCGCATCATCAGCGACATCATCATCAGCATCAGCATCCTCAGTATCACCATCGTCATCATCAGCAGCAGCAGCAGCATCAGCAGCAGCATCGGCATCAGCATCATCATCAGTTTCTTCTTCTTCTTCTTCACATTTGAACTCGTACCTCCGCCTCTTCCTTTGACTTGTCCTCCTCCACCAACGCCTCCTCATCCCACCTCCCTCACTGCCCCCAGCCCCGCCCCACTCTTCCTCATCCCTCTTCCAGCTAACGGCCCTCATTTCCCCCTTCCCCTCCGCGCGTGTGGGTGACCAATTGACGCCGCTGGCCAACTGAAAGTGCTGGCCTAGTTCTAGGGTTCCGAGGATGGGTGAGGACCGAGGGGGAGAAAGGGAGGGAGGGAGGAGGCATATGGAGAGTGAGCAGCAGAGTGAGATGGAGTAGAGGGAGAGTGAGCAAGAGGGGGAGAAAGACGAGCGGCAGGGAGGGCAGGCAGGAGGGGGTGCGACTCACTTGCCTTGCGGCCAGCGGCAGAGTATTTACACAAACATGCAACATGTAAGGGGCCATACAAGCTTCGACAAGAGTGGTGCAGAGCCAAGGGCGTGGACGGCTGGCCTATCTCGCCGTGCGGGTCCTGGAGCGGACTGTGGCGTCCACTGCACTGCTGCGAATGGGACATGGGGCCGCCATCACTCTCGCAGTCGTTCAGGGTTTGATAAGACTTCTGTGGAACTCGCGTCATCCTCACTCCCGGCGCGCGAGCAGGTCGGGCCCCACCGCGCCGGGGCGCGCGCCCGGGAGTGTCCCAGCAGGCCCTGACCTTCCAGGGAGCCATCTTTTAGCACGGGAGGCCTACAAACCTAAAGCACGAAACGAAACAGCCCAAGACCAAGACGTACATAGAATAGCTCTGGGAGGGGCTTTTAAGTCGCGTGCTATTCCTCCTCCTCCTCCTCCTCCTTATTTTTTAGCCCTCCTGGAAGGTCAGGGGGGCTCTCGCTCGAGGCGCCCTCGCGTAGTCGACCCCCAGGCGCGTGAGGAGGCCGCGGGCCCCGTGGCGCCCCCCACGGGACCACTGTCGGGGCGCGCGCCGGGCGCTGCCCCGGGAACCATTTCCTGGGCGCGCGCCACTGGGATGACCGTGGGGGGTTCTAAGTGGAGAGGGGGGGTACACGTGGATGCTAAGGTGGGCTATATCTGGCCCGACCTGGCTTATAAGCGGGTTACGGGCGCCCCGAATGGCTTAGGGGGTTAGATAACTCCGCTAAGTGGGCGAAGCCCACTTAGCCCGGATCGTTACCCCCCCAAAGCTACTTAAGGCATTTGTAACCCACTCATAAGCCAGGTTGGGCCAGATATAACCCACCTTGGCATCCACTCGTACCCCCCCTCTCCACTTAGAAACCCCGACGGTCATCCCAGCAGGGCGCCCCGGGCGCGTCCCCGCCGGGCTTTCGCTCGAGACAAATCTCGCAGGGCGCGCGAGGAGGCGGTCTTCCTTCTCCTCCTCCTCGCTCTGCGGACCCTCCTTTCTCCACATCCTCTCCTGCCTGCTCCACGCTCGCCGGATCTCCACCCGCGCGACCCTCACTCTTCTGATCCTCCTCCTCGCGAGCCTCGCCCTCCTGATCCTCAAGTTCATTCTCCTCTCGATCAGTCTCCAATCGCCCAGAAACGCACGACGATGTTTCTATATACAGAAACTCCCGGTCAACTGCAGAGCGGCGGGATAATCAACGTCTCTGCTGATCAGGATGGCTATCACATTTGTGGTTCGGTCGGTCGCAATTGCCATCAATATCATTCTCATCGTGAAGATCACCTCCATCAAAATCCACCGACCCTGTCGGCGTGTGTGAGGGGCTTCTCCGTTCGCGTCGTGCTTTCTTTCCTGTTCGACTTTCTCTAGCCGCATCCAGCTTCCAGTCACCGTTCTCCCGCTCTTTGTCAGCAGAGTCCTCTTCCTTGCACATGCCGTGCCAAGCAAGTGATTGAACGTCGTCAATACTTCGAAGGGAAGCGCCTTCCCTTTTCCCTTCTCCGGTGCGGGGGAGGGGGGTCTGGACCTGGGGGGGTCCCGGGGGGGTCCCGGGGGTGTCCCGGGGGGTCCTGGGGGGACCCGCGGGGGGGACCCGGGGGGGACCCGGGGGGGCCCCCCCCCAGATCCGACTCCCCCGGCAGCCTTCGAGAAAGCCCGGAGGGCGTCACAAGGAGGTTCTCGTCCTCATCCTCCTCCCCCTTCTCCTCCTCCTCCTCCTCCTCCTCCTCCTCCTCCTCCTCCTCCTCCACCTCCTGCTCCTTCTCCCCCTCCTCCTTCTCTTCCTCCTACTTATCATCATCCTCCTTGTCCTCTTCTCCTACTCCTGCTCCTTCTCACCTTCTCCACCTCCTCCTCCTCCTCTTTTCTCCTCCTCACCTTGTTCCTCCTCCTCCTCCTCATCCTCCTCCTCCTTCTCTTCTTCTTCCTCCTCCTCCTCCTCCTCCTCCACTTCCTCATCCCCCTCCTAGCCCCTTCGATCAGGGTCGGCGGCACCGGCCGTCAGGCCTCCTCAATAAAAGAAATTAATCACGACATAAACATAAACTTTTGGCGCTTAGCGCAAACAATTTGTGTTCATGCCGCTATTTCTTCTTCGATTGCGTGTATCATTGCGGAGCACCATAAGTTTATATGCATGGCGTCTTCTTTTTCGATCTCAGAACAAACTGCAGTGCAACTGCGGACATGCTACGTGCTCGGTATTGCCCCTTGCGGCAAAGACTGGAACTGATGGCAGATGATCTTTCTCCAACCAACCCATTGCGTGCAACCTTCTATATCATAGGGCGCGGCGCCATCATGTCCTCATACGAATGCAAGTCCTGTCCGTGCCGCAGGGGTAACGAACATCCTGCAAGCATAAGGAAACATCAGACTTACCCAGGCCCCCAAGTTCCCAGAAGTAATTCGAACTCTCGCGGAGAAACAGCGCGCCCTGTGGCTGGATCGAACTGTACCTTCCTTGAACCCCAACCAGGGCCGCGCCTGGTAAAGCTTCACGGTGCGCACAGACAGCCGGCCTATGTAGTCCCAGCTGGTCACCAGGCCCCCCGAGTAGTCCAGGGCGGGCGAGACACCTCATCCCTGGGGCGCAAAGCGCTCTAGTGGCGCCGCCGGAGGCGCCGCCAGGGTGTTGAGACCGCCCCTGACTACTCGGGGGGCCTGCTGAGGCCAGCTGGGACTACTCGAAGGACCTGTCGAAACCAACTGGGGGGGCTGTCTGCGCAAAACGCGATGCCTTACCAACCGAACTGTACCTTCCGTGTGCCCCCGCCAGTTCCGCGCCAGCCTCTGCATCTTCGCGACGCAGCTGCCGCAGTAAGGCCCGTGAGGGCAGTCTGGAGTGAATATGCTCCTGCCCGCGCGACGGGGCACGGGCGTGGTGAGCTTTTTTTTCTACACCCGATACGGACCCACCGCAATCGTGAAGGGCAGCGGAGGGAGAGGAAAGGAAGCCGTGGGAAAGGAGGAGGAGGGGCAGGAACGGGAACCGCAGCCGTTCCGGCGTGAGCTGCTGTTGCCGGAAGCCACAACACCGACGTGCACTCGGACAGGGATCAAGCCACACCTGCTCCTCCTCCTGCTCCGCATCCTCCTCCTCCTTCTCCTCCTCCTCCTACTCCTACGCCTCCTCCTCCTCCTCCTCCTCCTCGGACAAGCGACGTCACGTCTTGCTCACAGCGTTGCCCCTGGACCCCTCGACGCTTCTCGGGGACCAGGTGCTCATCCTGGATCGCTGGTTCACGGCCCCAGCGCCCGACACCGGCCTCCAGAGTCCGAAAGTTGCAAAACACAACAAAACATTATGCTGTTCAAAACGCTCGAACTCTGAGCTCCTCCTCCTCCTCCTCCTCCTCCTCTTCCTCCTCCTCCTCCTTATCCTTTGCCTCCTGCTCCTGCTCCTGCTCCTGCTCCTGCTCCTGCTCCTGCTCCTGCTCCTCCTCCTCCTCCTCCTCCTCATCCTCCTCCCCCTGCTCCTCCCTGCTCCTGGCAGCCCCTTGCACCACAGCGCCCTCGGCGCCCGACGCCCGCGCCACCCCAGGTGCCAGTAGCCGCACCCACCAGGGGGGTGGCCTCTGCTACTTGAAAGCACCACGGTGCCTTCTACAGGGCCATCAGGCCCAACTCAGCTGGGGCCTGGACCAAACCCAGTGCCGACCGCAACCCATTCAAAACGGGTCCCCAGCAGACCCCTCTCGGGCCTCTCGGGGTCCATCCACGCAGATGTGCCATCCCGCACATACTGTTTACTGCCCCGAGGGCCCGACGTCAAGAGGCCTAAGATGACGAACGACGCGTTCGAACGTGCCAGGGGATGAGCTTCCCGACCGGTGCGTCCCGTCCCGAGAACGGTCGCCTGACTTCGAATACGACGACGACGACGACGACGACGACGACGACGACGACGACGACGACGACGACGATGACGACGGCGGCGGCAGCGGCAGCGGCAGCGACGGCTTCGACGACGCCCATCGTTTGCGCGTCCCGAAAACTTCGCGGGCCCCATTAGATCACACCACTTCGGCCCCGTGCGAAGGGCTCCCCCATTGTTCGTGCGTCCCGAACATGGCACGAGGGCCGCGCCCGGATCAGGATCGAGGACTCGAGGACCGAGGCTCGTTCTTGTTAGCACTCTCGGGGCCCACCTGAGACCTGAGACCCCGCTTCCTCGCCCTTCGCCCTCGCGCCGCGCGCAGGACGGAGCCACATGATCCTCGCGCTGCCGCACAACCCGCCCCACCCCCCCGAGAGAGGCAGCCCTGCTGGCCCAGACCGCGCACCGCGAGGCGCGATCTCCTTCGCGCCCCTGCGCAAGAGGAGGAGGAGGAGGAGGAGGAGGAGGACAAGGATGAGGATGAGGATGAGGATGAGGATGAGGATGAGGATGATGATGATGATGATGATGATGATGAGGAGGAGGAGGAGGAGGAGGAGGAGGAGGAGGAGTAGGGGAGGAGGACGAGGAGGACGAGAAGGAGGACGAGGAGGACGAGGACGAGGATAGGAGGACGAGGGAGGAGGAGGAGGAGGAGGAGAGGAGGAGGAGGAGGAGGAGGAGGAAACTCTGGACACCTCGGGAGGCCTCCGGAGAACCCGCCTCCTCGCCCCTCGCCCCTCGCGCCGCGCGAGCCCCGCCGGCCCGCGCGCCGCACCTCGCGGCGCGCTGGGCGGAGGCGGCGGGGGGCCGCGGGAGCCGGCGCACCGATGGCGCGGAGGGGGCTCCCGCCGGCGGTGGCGGGGGCGGGCCCTTCGGGTCGGGCGAAAGGGGGGGGATAGCAAAGGGGGGGTTTTGAGAATCAGCTCACGTAGCTGATTTTCCCGGCGCCGGAGGCGCCCATGTATGGAGGAATGGGCCCCTCGGTGAGGCCCCCTCGGGGGCCGCGGGAGCCGGCGCACCGATGGCGCGGAGGGGGCTCCCGCCGGCGGTGGCGGGGGCAGGCCCGAAGGATTGCAAAAAACCCTTCGTTGCAATCCTTCGGGTTTTTTTGCAATGCTTCGTTTTTTTTGCAATCCTTCGGTTTTCTGCAGTCCTTCGGTCGGGCGGGGGCAGGCCCTTCGGGTCGGGCGAAAGGGGGGGATAGCAAAGGGGGGGTTTGAGAATCAGCTCGCGCAGCTGATTTTCCCGGCGCCGGAGGCGCCCATGTATGGAGGAATGGGCCCCTCGGTGAGGCCGAAACCAGCTGCATGCAGCAAATTTCGTAACCCCCCCTTTCCCAATCCCCGGTGGTGGCGGTGGCGGGGCCGAAGGATTGCAAAAAACCCTTCGTTGCAATCCTTCGGGTTTTTTTGCAATGCTTCGGTTCTTTGCAGTCCTTCGGTTTTTTGCAATCCTTCGGTTTTCTGCAGTCCTTCGGTTTTCTGCGATCCTTCGTTCGAGGCGGGCGCACTCGCGTCGCCGACCGTGGGGCCTCTGCTGGGTGCGAGGCTGCGCGGCGAAGGCCCAGGTCCAGCGCCAGATGCACGCGCGCGCGCGCCATTCCCCGCCACGCGCACACGATTTCCTCCGACGCGCGGGGGGGGGGAGAGGGAGGGCGACGAAGCCAGCGACCGGGGACAGAACGCAGATCTGCCTCCCCTTGCACTGCACGCCCTGCCCGCATCGCCACCCACCCCCTCCTCATCATCCGCGTTTCCCTCGTCATTGTCCTACCCCTTCTCGTCCTTCTCCTCCGTCTTGATATAAAAAAAGCGAAATGCTCGAAGCGGTGCGGTGTGGAAGAGAACTGCACTAGAGAAACCGAATGCGCTTGTGAGTATGGCTCACCATGGACACGAGACTCTGCGATTCTACCCCTTGCAAATCTAGGATTGACAGGCCTGTGCGCGTGTGTGCACATGAGAACGCTTGCGTACGTGTGCGCTTGTATGTGTGTGGGCTCTGCCAGCCCGTCTCTGACCTACTACGTAGTGTTACCGCCATCGCCGTGGTGCGTGCGTGCGTGCGTGCGTGCGTGCGTGCGTGCGTGCGTGCGTGCGTGCGTGCGTGCGTGCGTGCGTCTGTTTGTTTGTCTGTCTGTCTGTCTGTCTGTCTGTCTGTCTGTCTGTCTGTCTGTCTGTCTGTCTGTCTGTCTGTCTGTCTGTCTGTCTGTCTGTCTGTCTGTCTGACAGTCTGTCTGTCTGTCTGTCTGTGGGTGGGTGGGTGGGTGGGTGGGTGGGTGGGAGGTATGTGTGGCTCCTCCTTGGGGTCGCTCTAGGCCCCCGCGGCCCACTGCTCTCCTCGGGCGGTGTCCGCGCTCTGGGCGCCTTCGCCTCCCTGGCCCCTCGGCCGCGTCTCCGGGCCCCCCGCCGCGCTTTTCCGCCCTTTTGGCCGCCGCTCCCGGCCTGCCGATCGGGCCTCGCCCTTTCGGGCCCAGCTCCCCCCGCCCCGCACCCTCCGCCCGCCCTTTCCCGGCACGCTCCAGCCTGCCCCGGCCTTGGGTGAGGAGGAGGAGAGGAGGAGGAGGAGGAGGAGGAGGAGGAGGAGGAGGAGGAGGAGGAGGAGGACCGTCCCCTCCCCCTCCCGAGGGCCACGGACACGGGTGGGACTGGTTCAGGAGGGCTGGCGAGCGGCGGGGGCGGCGTGGAGGCGGCGGCCACAGGGCGGGCCAATCCCGCTCCGCCGCGCGCTCGTTTCTCGCGGCGCGGCTTTGGATCAGCGCAGGGCGAGGCGCGCGGCCTCGCCCCGCCCCCCGCCCCGTCAGCCCAGCATGCCCAGCCCGGTGGCTCGCTGGCCCTAGCCGGAACAGCCCTGGCGGCTGAGGGTGAGAGGGTGCCCCTGGTGGCGGCAGAGGGTGAGAGCTCAAGGTTGAGAAGGGTGCCCTGGTGGCGGCGGAGGGTGTGTCTGAGGGTGCCCTGATGGCTCCCTGGCCATATCCTCAGCGGCCCTGGCGGCTGAGGGAGAGAGGGTGCGCTGGTGGCGGCTGCGGGAGAGAACGTGCCCGCAGCTGTGGCTGTGGCTGCGGCCGCCGTGGCCCTGGCCTGGGCAGCCGGCGGCTCGTCCTTTCCCTCGCCCCGCCTCCTCCTCCTCCTCCTCCTCCTCCTCCTCCTTCTCCTCCTCCTCGTGCCCGCTGCCCCGGCGCCCCGGCGCCCCCGCGCCGCTCCCGGCCACTGCCCCGTGAGGGGTTGGCCGCCTCGCCTTTCGCGCGTCCCTTTCCTCGCTGTTCTTTCGGCTGCTGCGCGCTCGGCCGCCGGCCGCGCTCCCCCAACGGCGTGGCGGGTCTCCCACTCGCAGCGCCCGAAAAGTGAGTATGCGCGCGCGTGTGCGTATGCGTGTGCGTGTGCGTATGCGTATGCGTATGCGTATGCGTGTGCGTATGCGTGTGCGCGTGCGTATGCGTGTGCGCGTGCGTGAGCGTGCGCGTGTGGGTGTGCGTGTGCGCGTGCGTGCGCGTGCGCGTGCGCGTGTGCGTGCGCGTGTGCGTGCGCGCGACCTCTCAGGCCGTGGGAGGGGGGCCAGGCGCGAAACGCCGAGGGCATTTGGCCCATTCCGTCCTCTGCCTCTGCTGTCCGCCCTCCTCCTGCCTCTTGCCGGCGCGCTGTCCTGGCCCTCTCCCCTCGCTCGCGCCGCTGCCTCGCAGGGTGCCCGCGCTGCGCGCCCGCGGCCCCTCCTCCCCGCCGACCGTGCCCCGTCGGCCCTGCGCTGCCGCCCACCAGCTCGCGCTGCGACCACCCGGCGGGGCGTTCCCACTGTGGGCAATGCCTTTCCTTGCCGCCATCTTCGCCCCAGCATGGCGCGCGCGGCGACCCAAGGCGATACCGCAGGAGGTCTCGGCCGCCCTCGCCCGCCCCCGCCGCTCTTCGACTCACTCCGCCTCGACGCTGCGCGCGAAGCCGCGACCGCCAACAACGCGTGTGCGCGTGCGCGTGTCTGGGTGTGCGCGCGCGTGTGCGCGTGCGTGTCAGCGCGCAGGTTTGTAATTATCCCGGCAACGCAACCGAACAACGATGCGTATGAGCATATACGGAAGCATCCCCTTAAGCTTCAAATGAAAAACCATATGAAGAAGTCCGTTGCTCCTGCTGTCGCAATCGCATTCAGACTGCCAATCGCACCGGCAACGGCAGTCGCAGCCGCAGTCACAGTGGCAATGACAGTAGTGTCAGTAGCTGTAGCTACATTAGCAGTAGCAGCAGCAACAGAAGCAACAGCAACAGCAGCAGCATAAGCAGTAATAGTAATAGTACTAGAGTTTCTGATCATGGTGGCGACAGTAGTGGTAGTAGTAGTAGTAGTAGTAGTAGTAGTAGTAGTAGTAGTAGTAGTAGTAGTAGTAGTAATAGTAATAGTAGTAGTAGTAGTAGTAGTAGTAGTAGTAGTAGTAGTAGTAGTAGTAGTAGTAGTAGTGGTAGTAGTAGTAGTAGTAGTAGTAGTAGTAGTAGTAGTAGCAGCAGTAGTAGTAGTAGTAGTAGTAGTACTACTAGTAGTAGTAGCAGTAGTAGAAGTAGTAGTAGGAGTAGTAGTAGTAGTAGTAGTAGTAGAAGTAGAAGTAGTAGTAGTAGTAGTAGTAGTAGTAGTAGTAGTAGTAGTAGTAGGTAGTAGTAGTAGTAGTAGTAGTAGTAGTAGTAGTAGTAGTAGTAGTAGTAGTAGTAGTAGTAGTAGTAGTAGTAGTAGTAGTAGTAGTAGTAGTAGTAGTAGTAGTAGTAGTAGCTAGTAGTAGTACTAGTAATGGTAGTAATAGTACGAGTAGTGATGGGAGTAGTTGTAGAAATAATTGTGGCAAGCAATAGTAACGATAGCAGTTGTAGTAGCAGTAGAAATATTACGGGGGGTGCTAGCACAAACGGGACATCTCCATCAATGAGAGCAATTCTGCGGTAGCAGTAGTAGTCGCAGAAGTACTAGCAGTAGTAGCGATAGTAGGACTAGCTGCAGTCGCAGTCGGAGTCACCATGGAAATGGCAGTTACAGCCGCTTTTGCAATCGCAGTCGCATTGGCGATGACAGTCTCGTGTTGCCGATTGTTGCTTTTTTTCTCGCACGAACAAGCTTCCGCAGCCGCTCAAACAAACACCATTTCCAAGTAGGCGAAAGAGCAATGGCAAGCCGAGAAGCACTGCAGGCGGAAGCGAGTAATCTTCCAGAAGCATACACAACAGCAGTTGAGGACTGAGAAGCACCACGAGCGAATGCGAGTCAGCCGGGGTTGAGAGACGAGATACTTGAGGCAAATATCGCTGGCAGCCCGCGAGGCGAATCCTAATCCGCCGACCAAGCAGCTTAAAAGGTTGAGGGGCGCGATGTGCAGGAAGCTGAGAAGCGTCGCCGGCAGGACATCAGCACATAAGGACAAGCTGAGAAACATCGCTGGCAGGAAGCTGAAAAGCATCACTGGCAGGACAAGCTGAAAAGCATCGCTGGCAGGACGCGATGTGGCAGGAAGCTGAGAAGCATCGCTCAATGGACATCAAAGTTGCAGCCCTTAATTTAAAGCTTTCTCCTGACAGATGACCTTCGAAGATTCTGCAGTTATTGGCTGAGTCCGGTGTCTTGGTCCACTCATTCATTCGCTTGTGCTCACCAGGTGCTCACCTGGAAGTTCCATAGGAATCTGTATAGGGAATTTCCGCAGCATTCTCCCGTCGGTTCCATAGGAATCTATATGATGAGTCTATGGGATTCTGCAGGAATCCATAAGAAACAATTTAGGAACAAATTTAGGAATCTATAAGGAATCTACAGGAATCTCTAGAAGCCTACAGGGAATCTGTAGGAATCCAGAGGCCAATCTCTAAGAATCTACAGGAATCTGTAGGACTCCACAAGCATCTGTATAGGGAATTTCCGCCGCATTCTCCCGGATCCAACCCCCAAAGGTACACAAACACCCGCGGCGAGCCGATAGGGAATCCATAGGAATCGAAAGGAATCAATAGGAAAAAACGATCCCGCTGCATTCCCCGGTTCCCGCCCCCATAGGTACACAAACACCCGCGGCATTCCCCGGCACCCGCCCAGACCCCCCTGGGGAGTCATGGTGCTATCTTTTGACACCATTTGAATCCGATCAATCTTCGCTGTTAGGTAAAATCCTACCAGCCAGTGGGCTAAAGTGGTCTGGCGAGTTCTGTATGTCGTACCTCTCCCCATCTGGGGAGGCTTACCTCCCCCCCTCATGGCATCCAAGATGGTCCCAAGAGGCCCCCCCAGGGCTCACAAGGGACCCCCACGAGGGCGCCAAGAGGGCCCAAATAGGCCCCAAGAGCCCCCCCAAAACACCAACAGGACCGCAAGAGGGCATCCGATGCTCCAAGATGGTCTCCAAGATGGCTCAAGATACCCGGCGATATTCAAGATGGCTTCTGGCATACCTCCAAGAGGCTTGACGAAGGCCACAAGACGGTTCCAAGTGATCTCGGTGCGCTCTCAGGACCCCCCAAGAAGCCAAAATCATTCGAAATTGTTGACAAGATAACGCTGATGCTTGACATCTCGCCCTTTCGCTTCCGATGCGCTTCTGTGCCGTCAAGATGGTCCCAAGATGGCCTAAGAGAGGCCCAAAAGGGGCCGAAAAGGCCCCCTGGACGGCCCCAAGAGCGCCTACGAGCAGCCCAAGAGCGCCCCAAGAGGGTCCCAAGAGGAGATGTTGATGGCCCCAAGGGAGGCACCATACGTTACGACCCCAAGACAGCCACAAAACGGTTCCAAGTGCTCTCGGAGCCCCTGAGGTCCCCCGAAAAAAATCAAAAGTTGGCAAAGCAAAGAAACTCAAGACAATCACGGATGTTTAATGTTTCCTCCTTCTCCTCCTCCTACTCCTTTTCCTCCTCCTCGTCCTCCTCCTCCTTTTCCCCGCCGTCCGTGTCCTCATCCTCTTCCTTTTTCGTTCCGTCCTCTTCCTCGTCGTGGTCGTCGTCGTGTGTCCTCCTCCTCCTCCTCTCCCTCCTCCTCCTCCTCCTTCCCTCGCCCCCACACGGGCCCCAGGGATGGCCCGAAGAGGCCCTCCAAGGCCACCACCGTGCTCCCAAAGATCTTTTTGGTGAGCGTTTATGTTAGTCGGCGTTTCAACATTGGGTGGAAGGGGGGAGGTCTTGTTCCCGACCTCTGCTTAGTGTGACTGTTTGCAGCAGTGTGCCCACTGGGAGAGGGACCCCACCTGCCTGCAACAGGCGCCAAAAAAACACCCAAGATCCACTCCATGGTGGGGGGGGGGGGGGGGGGGGGGGCGAGGCCCGCGCCGATCGGCTAAACAATGAATAGAAAACGATCACCTGTTCACCCTGGTTGCCCGCCCTGTTTCGCTGTATGTGTATCTTCGTCCCTCTTCCCGTCAACTCTCATGAGCAAGGTTGCCAAATGGGCTGGTGAGGATACTTTTTGATCGCGACCGCGGCGAAGCAATGTTGGGTGGCGCCCAGGGAATTGCAAACCAGCAGCGGCCTAAATTAGCGCAGAGGAAGAGGACGGCGAAAGAAAATAACAAAAACGAGCAGGAGAGAGACAAACAGGAGGCGAGCCTCACTGCCGCTCAATGGAGCGCAAGCACCAGGAGGAACTTCTGGGCGACGTGACTGGCTGGTGAGGATGTTTTAGTCAGCAGCCGCAAGCGAAAGCGCAAACGGCGAAGCGTGAAGAATTGTGTTTCGTGTATGTGTGTCGTGTACGTCTTGCGTCTGCGCATTGCTGATACTTTGTGTGCTCGTGCGCGTGCGGGTCTGAGTCTGTGCGCGTGAACGTGTTCGCCTGGCGAAGCGGGAGAAAGGGAGAGAGAGAGAGAGAGAGAGAAAAAAAAAAAAAAAAAAAAAAAAAAAAAAAAATCATAGGTGGAGAGACAGAGAGACAGAGATGCAGAAAGAGAGAGGGAGAGAGGGAGAGAGAGAGAGAGAGAGAAAGAGAAACACACAGAGGGCGAGCAGAAACGGCAAGGCGATGAAAGAGCAAGCCATGCAGACGAGATGAGGCGGAGGCGAGGCTCCTCTGCGAGACCACCACGAAGAGGCGCTCCGCGTCCTGGGACATTGGTCTCCTCCTCCTCCTCCTGTGCATCTCCGGCCCCCCCTGGGGATGGGTCGGATTCAGACGCGTCTGATTTTGTTTCATATTGGATCACCGTGGCTTTAGGCCCTTAGGCCTGTCCCCAACGACAACAACCTCTGTGCCTCTCCTCCTCTCCCATACCTCTCCCATCCATTATCCATGCTCCTGCTCTTCCCACTTATCCATATGTTCCGTCTTCCTATGTAGCCACACCGCGACAGGACTACATGTTCATAAAACTTTGTGGCAGGCATCCCCTCTTGCTCTCTTCCCCCGGCCAGCTCTGCCAGAAGCGAGGCGAGACACACAGGTCACTGCATCGTCCAATGTGACGGCCTCTGCGGTGAACGAAGCCACGGGCGAGTCTTTCTCCAGCGCAGGGACTCCAGGACATTATGCGAGCCTTTCCGACCGCCAGCCTGATGGATCTTGACACTTTAATGCGATGCCACGCTGCTTTGGGCCCCTGCACCTTCTGCCCGCACCTTTTCCCCATTGCCACTTGCTCCCGCCTTGCCCCCCCCCCCTCCCTCTGCGGCGGGGGTGGAGTAGGGGAGAGGTGCGTGTGCGCGCATCCAATCCTTGCAACGCGGACGTCGAGAAGGTGCTGCGGGAGGTTCACCACTCAAAAATTGCACGAAAGACTGAGCACCGCTGAAGGATGTGCCCTTTCCCTTTGGGGGGGGGCTCCCCGATTTTCTCCCTCGGCAATCGTTGCACTCGCTGAGTTCCGCGCAATACACACAAACACACATACATACGAATACGCAATACATAATACATGAAGTAACATGTTTATATGTTTAACTAGATTCATATGTACACAGACTCCTGGCTGTCAGCCTCGTCCCGAGTGGCAACGTTAGGGGGGAACTGGCCCCGGGGGGGGGGGGGGCGGGGGGGAGCATCTAGCTGGAATAGATCGGCGACCCCCCGATAGCAAGTACAGGTACAAAAGCCACGCGCCAGCCCCAGCACACACTCCTGGGCGGGGTGGGCACGCATTCCCGGGTGGGGTGGGCTGTCGGGCGATCGGGGTCGAGGCGTCCTCCTCTGAGCTCATCCCCCTCTGGGACTTGGGCGCCCGAGTTATCCGGGGTAACTCGGGTCCGGGGTAACTCGGGTTTGGATTCTCGAAAAAGGAACCCGAGTTAGCCCTGACCCGAGTTACCCCTTATGATTCGGGGCCCTGGACGCCCGAATTATCCGGGGTAACTCGGGTCCGGGATAACTCGGGTTCGGATTCCCGAAAAACGAACCCGAGTTAACCCTGACCCGAGTTACCCCTGATGATTCGGGGCTCTGAGGGACGGCCTGACCCACCCCCGACCAGGCGCGACGTCACCAGACGGGGTGGCCTTTGGCCTCAGCCTCAGCCGGCGCGAACCGCGGTTCCCTGCAGCGCGCGGCTCCTCCCCAGATGGCCTGCAGCACCGCATGCAGGGGGGCCCAGTGGCCTCCGACAGGGGGGGGGGGGGCGGGTGGCAGAGGAAGGGGAGGGGCAGGAATCGGACGCCGATCATGGGGGCTCGGGTTTAGGAAGGGGCCCTGGGACACACAAATAAATACACACAAATAAAACAATTCCCCATATTTCTCCATATGTTTTGGATTTTTCCCAACCATCCTGTGGTGTTGGGTCCTCGTTTTGAAGAGACGGTCCCCGCGTCCTCCTCTCCTCTCCTCCTCTCCTCTCCTCCTCCTCCCCCTCCTCCTCCCTCTTCCCTGCGTTTCACCCACCCAGTACAGCGTTTCGTGGCCCCATAGGAGCTCCGCCGAAGGCCCCAGTGCTGCCGCCCGCATGCGTCACCCACACACACAATTCGGCACACCGCTCACACGTTTCGTGGCCCCATAGGAGCTCCGCCGAAGGCCCCAGTGCTGCCGCCCGCATGCGTCACCCCCACCCAATTCGGCACACCCCTCACACGTTTCGTGGCCCCCTAGGAGCTCCGCCGAAGGCCCCAGTGCTGCCGCCCGCATGCGTCACCCACACCCAATTCGGCACACCCCTCCACGCTTTCGTGGCCCAATAGGAGCTCCGCCGAAGGCCCCAGTGCTGCCGCCCGCATGCGTCACCCACACCCAATTCGGCACACCCCTCACACGTTTCGTGGCCCCATAGGGAGCTCCGCCGAAGGCCCCAATGCTGCCGCCCGCATGCGTCCCGCACACCCATTTCGGCACACCCCTTACACGTTTCGTGGCCCCATAGGAGCTCCGCCGGAAGGCCCAAGTGCTTGCCGACCGCATGCTTCACCCACACACACACACACACCCTTACACACACACACACCACTCACACACACACACACCACACTACACACACACACTAACGCACACTCACACACAGTTTCGCGAACCCCTCACACGTTTCGTGGCCCCATAGGAGCTCCGCCGAAGGCCCCAGTGCTGCCGCCCGCATGCGTCACCCACACCCAATTCGGCACACCCCTCACACGTTTCGTGGCCCCTTAGGAGCTCCGCCGAAGGCCCCAGTGCTGCCGCCCGCATGCGTCACCCACACCAAATTCGGCACACCCCCTCCACGTTTCGGGCCCCATAGGAGCTCCGCGAAGGCCCCAGTGCTGCCCCCTCTGGCGTTCACCCACCCCCAATTCTGGCACACCCCTCACACGTTTCGTAGCCCCATAAGAGCTCCGCCGAAGGCCCTTGTGCTGCCGCCTGCATGCGCCACCCACGCACAATTCGGCACACCCCTCACACGTTTCGTGGCCCCATAGTAGAAGCTCCGCCGAAGGCCCCAGTGCTGCCGCCCGCATGCGTCACCCACACCCAATTCGGCACACCCCTCACACGTTTCGTGGCCCCATAGGGAGCTCCACCGAAGGCCCCATGGCTGCCGTCCGCATGCGTCCCGCACACCCATTTCGGCACACCCCTCACACGTTTCGTGGCCCCACAGGGAGCTCCACCGAAGGCCCCATTGCTGCCGCCCGCATGCGTCCCGCACACCCATTTCGGCACACCCCTCACACGTTTCGTGGCCCCATGGGAGCTCCACGTAAGGCCCCATTGCTGCCGCCCTGCTGTGCGTCCACCCCACCCAATTCGCAACGCCCTCAACGACGCGTCGTGGCCGCCATACGGAGCTTCCGCCGGAAGGCCCATTGCTGCCGCCCGCTATTGCGTACCGCACAACAGAATTCGGCCTACAACCCCTCACACTTTTTTCGTGGCCCCATAGGGAGCTCCGCCGAATGCCCCAGTGTGCTGTCCGCCCGCATGCGTCACCCACGCTAACCATTCGGGCACACTTCCCTCACACGCTTCGTGCCCCATAGGGAGCTCCGCCGAAGGCCCAGTTGCTGCCCCCGCTGTGCGTGCACGCACACCCAACTCGGGCACACCCCTCACACGTTTCGTGGCCCCATAAGGGAGCTCCACCGAAGGCCCCAGTGGCAGGGTCCGAATGCCTCCCCACCACCCATTTCGGCACACCCCTCACACGTTTCGTGGCCCCATAGGGAGCTCCACCGAAGGCCCCAGTGGCTGCGTTCGCATGCCTCCCCACCACCCATTTCGGCACACCCCTCTCACGTTTCGTGGCCCCATAGGGAGCTCCACCGAAGGCCCCATGGCTGCCGTCCGCATGCGTCCCGCACACCCATTTCGGCACACCCCTCACACGTTTCGTGGCCCCACAGGGAGCTCCACCGAAGGCCCCAGTGCTGCCGCCGCATGCGTCCCCGCATCATTTCGTTCGGCACCTCCCTCACACGCTTCGTTGGCCCATGGGAGCTCCACCGAAGGCCCCAGAGTGCTGCCGCCCGCATGCGTCCCGCTCCCCATGTCGGCACACCCCTCACGCGTTTCGTGGCCCCATAGGGAATGCGTCCCGCACACCCATTTCGGCATACCCTTTCACACGTTTCGTGGCCCCATAGGGAGCTCCGCCGAAGGCCCCAGTGGGTGTGCCCGCATGCGTCCCGCACATCCATTTCGGCACACCCCTCACGCGTTTCGTGACCCCTCACACGTTTCGTGGTCCCATAGGGAGCTCCACCGAAGGCCCCAATGGGTGTGCCCGCATGCGTCCCGCACACCCATTTCGGCACACCCCTCGCACGTTTCGTGGCCCCGTAGAGGGGCTCCACCGAAGGTCCCAGTGCTGCCGCCCGCATGCGTCCCGCACACCCATTTCGGCATACCCTTCACACGTTTCGTGGCCCCAAAGGGAGCTCCGCCGAAGGCCCCAGCGGGTGTGCCCGCATGCGTCCCGCACACTCATTTCGGCATACGCGTTTCGTGACCCCTCGCTTCGCCAGGATAATTGTCTTCCCCCCCCTTCCCACAGTTTCCCATATTTTCTTGGAAATCGACGATTAATTGTGTCTGTGTTTTTTCCCCTCCTGAGTTACCCTCTCTTGATGACATGTCCAGCGCGGGTTCCCACGGCGCTCGCTCGACCTCGCCGACATTGGGGCGCGCGCGAGGTCGCCGTCGAGGCCCAGCAACGCCCCGCACGGGGGGAGAGTGGAGGAACAGAGCACGGCATGAACGTGCAGTCGGGGCGTTGACCTAAGGAACCCTTAATAAGGAACGAGGCCCCTTTTTCCCATAAGTTCAACTTCGATTTCCTATCGAAAACATGAGGATAACCTGAGGCAAGCTATGAAATACTTGAGGAACGCGGAGCCCCTCCCCAACGAAAAGGGCTCCTTCTTCAGGGCCCCGACTGTAACAGAACTCGGCATGAACGTACACTGTCGAAGCTCCGCGCGGACTTCTTGGATCGGCGCTGGGAGGCGTTGGAGGCGCCGAAGGTGGGGGGGCCCACCGCCGATCCAAGAAGTCTGCGCGGAGCTCCGAAATCTTACGCGCATGCAGCGCTTCTTACTCAAGGAAGGGCGGCGGGTGGCGAAGGGGGGGAATGGGGGGGGGGGGCGATGGGAAGGGAGCAATGACGACGTCGGGCGGGGGAGGAGGAGGGGGAGGAGAAAGAGGGGGGAAAAGAAAGGGCGAGGACCGGGAGGAGGGGCGAGGAGCGAGCAGGGCGGAGGAGGAGCGGGAGCGGGAGCGGGAGCAGAAGCAGGAGGGAGGGCCACGAGGAGCAGGAGGAGGACCGCAAAGGGGACGCGGCCCGGGAAGGGCGAGGCGGGCCGCTGCCGCGGCGGGCCGCGCTGGCGCCGCGGGCCTCGGCGGCGAGCGCAGGACGTGACGGGGCCGGGTGCGCAACCTCCTCTTCCTCCTCCTCCGACTTCTCGGCCTCCTCCTCCTCCTCCTCCTCGTCGTCGTCCTCGACCTCCTCGTCCTCCTCCTCCTCCTCTTCCGCCTTCTCCTCCTCGTCCTCGTCCTCCTCCTCCTCCTTCTTGTACCCCCCTTCCTCCTCCAAAGTACTGTCATGTGTTAAGATTGACGCCCCGGTGTTCATCCTCAACGTCCTCCACTGAATCCTCGACCTTTTTTGCTGCTCAGACGTTTATCCGAATGCCCCTGAAAATAACGGTGGCAATACTATAATAAAGGGGATCGGGATGGATAGTCAATTGATCGCCCCGGCAACTCGTATGTACGAAAGTTGGGAAGGCTGCCTTCTTCGGGGTGCCTCGCTTTGGCGCTTCTCGGGAAGGGTAGTAGTAGTAGTAGTAGTAGTAGTAGTAGTCGTAGTCGTCGTCGTCGTCGTCGTCGTCGTCGTCGTAGCAGTAGCAGTAGCAGTAGCAGTAGTAGTAGTAGTAGTAGTAGTAGTAGTAGTAGTAGTAGTCGTCGTAGCAGTAGCAGGAGTAGTAGTAGTAGTAGTAGTAGTAGTAGTAGTAGTAGTAGTAGTAGTAGTAGTAGTAGTAGTAATGATAGTAGTAGTAGTAGTAGTAGTAGTAGTTGTAGTAGTAGTAGTAGTAGTAGTAGTAATAGTAGTAGTAGTAGTAGTAGTACTACTACTAGCAGAAAGAAAGTAGTATAAGCATAGTAGTAGTATTTTGACACAACCTTAAGATATATTGAGGGTAAAGTAGTAGTATTAATCGTTAGGAGTAATATATATAATAGTAGTTACAGTAGTGGTACAGTATAGAGCAGTAGTCTAGTAGTATGAGTAGTGATGCAGTAGTCGTCGTAGTAGTTGTAAGTAGTTGTAAGTAGAAGTAGTATGTATATTATTAATGTAGTAGTCGTCGTAGTAGTAGTCGTAGTAGTAATTGTAGGACTAGTGGTAGTAGTCTAGTAGTAGTAGTAGTAGTTGTTGTTGTTGTTGCTGTAGTAGTTGTAGTTGTAGTTGTAGTTGTAGTTGTAGTTGTAGTAGTAGTAACAGTAGTAGTCGTAGTAGTAGTAGTAGTAGTAGTAGTAGTAGTAGTAGTAGTAGAAGTAATAGTAGTAGAAGTAGTAGTAGCAGTAGTAGTAGTAGTGGTGGTAAATTTGTATTGTAGTCGTAGTAGTAGTAGTAGTAGTAGTAGTAGTAGTGTACTAGTAGTAGTGGTAGTGGTAGGCGGTAGTAGTAGTA